TCCATGATTCCTAAATTGGGATAGAATAGGACCTTATCAATAGATGATCTATAATAGCACTGACCAACTGAATTTTCTTCAGTGATCAGTAATATCCAATATGGAAGCTTCTACCCACACCTGACTGTGGAGCATTGAATTATGGCTAGTATAACCAAGAAACTGAATTTTAATTTTCATGAATTCAAATTGAAATTTAATAGCTATAGGTGGCTACTGGCTTCACTATTGGGATGCATAGATCTTTACCCTTGGAGATGGAAATGATTATCTTCTTCATTTTAATAGGGTCTTTTTGTCAGTGAGAACGGCTCACCCCCCCTGAAATTCTTTTTTTATGTAGAAGGTTATGACCAGGCAAATGTGAAGGGAATGTGGAACAGAGATGAATAGAAAGGAAGAAGGGAAGGAACTGGAAGCAATGTGAACAGTTATTTCAAGGACACCCTACCACTCCCCAGAAATGCTATGGGGTATCTACATGCCCCATACACTTAAATCAAATAAATAGGCTTTCAGAAGACACACAAAAAAGGCTTCTTGTTGCAGCCTGTACAAGCTGCAAGTGAGTATGACTATCTTCCTTCTCCTTCCCAGAGCACTGTGCCTCCAGGTCTACCACCTGACACAATTCTGCAAAAGATGAGCAGTGACGGTAGTGATGTAATAATGGCTAATGTTTATTGAGTGCTTACATACATGCTTCAGCCTGCTTCAGCAGTTACAATGCATTCATTTAATTTTCATAACAACTCCATGAGGTAGTGACACTAAAATAAATCTATTTTAGTCGAGGGAAGAGGCATAAGAGAAATTAAGAATTTGTGTAAGATCACACAGCTAGTTATTGATGGAGCCAAGACTCCAAGCTGGGTTGACAAGATTTCAGTCACTGCTGTATCATCCTGCAGATACACCCATCGCGGCAAATGCTAGCTTGCAGCCAATCAAGGACAAGCAGATTCTGTTCTCAGCGTGAACTCAGGTTTATCAAGCATATAGAAATAAGGCGCGCGCGCACACACACACACACACACACACACACACACTAAACAGACACCCCCCCCCAAAAAAAGGCAGAATGAATGTAGAACTTACTCTTGCTCTCAAGAGCTATGAAAACGAAGATTTGTGGGAAAAGGGTCAATTTTCCACACTATATGGACATTTCAAAATCCAATTTTCAAAAAATGTACCCTTCACATCTGTATGAACCCAAGAAAATGTCTACAAAGATGAAAAACCTAAAATTAAAATTATAGTTCAACATTTACAAAAACATATATTTTAGTTGTCAATTAACCTTTATTTTATTTATTTAGATGAGTGCTGAGAAATGAACCCAGTGCCTCACTCATGCTAGGCAACCCCTCTACCACTGAGTTACAGCCCCAGCCTCATTTACAAAAACTTTTAATGTAAAATCAGGAAATCATGTTGACTTGTTATACTGATTTTAATTTTAGGCTTATAACAGGTGAGTCACAAAGGCCTCATTACCATCTTTCACTCAAACTCAGAATGCCACAGGCAATGTATGTTTAATCTTTTTCTTATCAATTTTTTATTGAGGACAGTCAGGAGTGCTTTACCCCATGATTGAAAACACACTGTTCTGACACAATACATTCATTTTATTTATTTGTTTTTAGGTGGTTGGTGCTGAGGATCAAACCCAGCGCCTCACACATGCTAGGCGTCGGCTCCACCACTGAGCCACAACCCAGCCCTGAAAACACACTGTTTTCAAAGTAACACTTCCATTAAAGAAGCTTCCAAAATGGAAGAAATTGAAACAGTAACAGTGGCACTCACCTACCACCTGCCACTGTTCCCTTTATCCACTTGGTTCTCAATCCTCAGAGCAGTATAGTGAGGTAATATAAAGGGTCCGGCAGAGCGTCGGAGGGAGAGACCACACAAGAGACTGACTTCATGCAATTGCAGAGGGGGATTTATTGGGGATC